AAATTTGTATTTTGGGCGTTTGGTCCCGCCATTCAAACTTTACGAAGGTGCCCGCCGGTTATTAGCGTCGATGGCACACATTTGCGTGGATCCTACAAGGGAAAATTACTTGTGGCCGTAGCACAGACTGCGAATAAGCGGTTATTGCCGGTCGCGTATGCGCTTGTCGATGAAGAAAGCAAGAACAGTTGGTCATTTTTCCTTAGGAATCTGCGGCAACATGTAGTCTTCCAGAGACGTATCTGCATTCTTTCTGACAGGGATGCGGGCCTACTCAGTGCCATCGAATCATTACCAGATTGGCAAGAACCCGCTGCGTATCACCGAATTTGCCTTCGACACCTCCGAAGCAACGTGGTGACTAATTTCAGGAGTAAGAAAATTCGGACTTGGTGTTGGGAATTGGGTTCGCAGTTGTCGGAGCGAAAGTTTCGAGAGACAGAACAACGACTGTTGGCATTGAATCCCGAGGCACACAATTTTCTTTTTCGAATTCCTTTGGAGAAGTGGACCCAGTTAAAAGATAAAGGAGGACGCAGATGGGGCACATTGACCACGAACATGTCGGAGAGTTACAACAACGTGCTGAAAGGGGTTAGGTTCCTGCCGTGCAGAGCTTTGGTAGATGCTACATTGCATAAAACTCTGGATTTGTTTCAACAGGAACAAAACAAGTCCACGAGATGCAGGACTTCCATTGCTACGGAGCACTATAACGCATATTTGCAATTGGAGCAGACAGGCGCCACTCATAATGTCCATGTTATGGACGCGGACAGCTCCATGTACGGAGTGGAAACCGGTTTACGGGCGAGTGGAAGAGGGCAAAACATGTAAGTATATTTTTTTTTTTACTTTGTTGTTTGTCCATTAAATTTAAATTTTTTCATATTGTATATGTATAAATCACTGGAGAATTATTACAGGTATAAGGTAGATTACAACCGAAAACGTTGTAGTTGTCGGAAGTGGCAGACGCATCGGAAACCATGCTCTCATGCGTTAGCCGTCTGTCGTTCAGTTGAGACCGACCCAAACCTGTTGTACAGTGAGTATTTTTGGACCGAGAACTGGGAAGCTCAATTTCGTGATTGGAGTTTTGCTCCGATTGGTAATCCGGATACATGGGCGCCGGTCGAGTGGAAATTGATACCACACTGGGAGAGGATGATCTTGAAGCCTGGACCAGGTCGCGTGCAAACGAGACGATATCGCATGCAAATGGATCGTCGGTCACGCCGCAGGAGGGATAGGGGACAGTGCACTAGATGCGGTGATCCAAATCATGTTGTGGATGAGT